GGGGGGGGGGGGGACAAGATTTGAGGTGATATACGGCAAGCGACCAGTGCGCCGGCCCCCCCGGTGTAATCCGTCATGGTACAGTCATGATGAGTTTGGATGGTGCGCTTGCGTGCGCGGCCGTGTGGCTGCAGCCGACTCAAGATTTATACCGTGTTGCGTGAGCGAGAGCGGGACTTTTACTTTCAAAGCGGCCGTGTCGGAGCCGTCAGGCCCATTGCTTGCTGCATAACATTTATTTATTCCCCGCCGTCGCAACCTCAGCGTCCCCAAAGATTGATGGGCCACTGCCGCTGCTTGCCTGCCCAAGTAACAGATGCGTCCCGCTGCTCTGAGGAGAGCGTCGACTAAACGTCAGCGACTTCCAAACATGAGCGTCTTTTACAAAGCATTGATGGGTCTCTTGATGGCGGAGCTTACGATCAATGCGGGTCGCTTCCACTTGCCTCGTTATACGTACCTTGCCTCGAGCGATAATGGGGAATCTTTGATTTAATTAACAGCGGCTGAATTTCACTGTCTGCAAGAACAGTAGCACTCGGGGCACCGCATCGTTTTCCCCCCTTTGTTATATTTATAAGGCTCAAACCTTGGAGAGTCAGTCATGAATTGGAAGGCGGCCGCAGTTGGAGTTTGGAGTTCATTTTTGAAGCTTAGCGCTCCATCACTTTCATTTAAGCACACACAGGGTACACAATTCGGCGTTCATGATGTGAACATTTATTCTCTATATGGGAATCGGGAGGAAGACTCATCAAAGAAAACGACGGGGAAAGAGCAGCAAAGAATTAAAATTTAACAGGGGGAAATAAAATCAAACATTGAAAGCAAAAAAAAAAAAAAAAATGGATGATCTTGGCAAAGAGTGTTCACTTTCTGAAAAGACGCAAATGCGGCGGCTCCTTGACTAACTGGGCACAATTTTACTTCGGGAGTTCTTGTGTGTAGCCGTTGTCGAAACTCATACGGTTCCGCCCGTTATTCCGTTCGCTTTTGATGACATTGCACCCTGTCATTCTTCAGCTCCTGTTCTAATTTTCTTCGACTGATATTTGCGCAATCATCTGTTTCTGCAGAATCCCCGCATGTGTTGTCACTTCTTTGTGTGTGTGTGTGTGTGTGTGTGTGTGTGTGTGCGTGTCGAGGTTTGTGCAAAAAAAAAAAAAAAAAGAGCACGGCGACACATCTCTGATCCGTCGGGGAACGTGTGGGTGGGATTCTACTTCAAGAGCCTGTCGGAGTCATGGCGGTTGGCCTCAGCTACAAGCGTGCACACAGTTGCCGCGGCGCGCGGCGATATCGATGAGCAGCCAACCTTTTGTTTGCTGATTGCGTGCCGTCTCGTCACTGTCAGATTTCATGGGGCTGCGACTCAAGTTCAAATTCAGAACATACGCCGTGTTGTGTGAATACGCTGCAGCCCTTGAAATGAGAAATGATCCGTTCATGGGAGTTCGCATTCGTCACCCGCTTCCTGACGGATTTAGGTTTGGTTGATTTTGTTTTTTTTACCATATGCCCTAAGACCAAAAAAAAAAAAAAAAATCGTTTGTAAATGCTTCTTGCAACCCATATTGCAGATGTGAAGATGAAATGTCAATCCATTTTCATGTGACAATTTCCCCTTTTGACGCCAGATGTCGTTGACGGCGGCTGTGTCGTTTCTCTGTCAATAGGAGAATCACTGCAGGCGAATCAAGATCCTGGGGGACTGTTATTACTGTGTCTCAGGATTGACCCAACCCAAGGCTGACCACGCCCACTGCTGTGTAGAAATGGGCCTTGACATGATTGACACCATCGCGTGAGTGACACAAACACGCACGGCGCTAACCTGGGCGCTGCTCCGGAACTAGCACGAGCGCAAACGCGGTGGAAAAGAGCCATACGATGACCGCTCGGACCTCAGAACACATTTCACCGACGTCAAATCGAATTGCAATAATAAATTTGACAGCCGAATAAATCAGTCGGATTGTGTTCAAACTTCCAAGGCTCCTCTGTGCTGGCAAGATCTCTCAATGTATACTTCAAGGTCCGTTCTTGACGGTAAATCTTTTGAATGTCCCTCTCTCCACGCAACCCTTTTTCTCTCAGGTCAGTGGTTGAGGCAACGGAGGTGGACTTGAATATGCGTGTGGGCCTCCACACGGGACGAGTGCTGTGCGGCGTGCTGGGCCTCAGGAAATGGCAGTATGATGTCTGGTCAAACGATGTCACTTTGGCCAACGTGATGGAGGCCGGAGGATTGCCCGGGTCAGTATTCGGTGGCGCGACCGAAGAGCACCTGCCGCAGACGCGCCTTCAGCGCACCCTGTTATGCTTGCGAAAGCCGATTACTCGGCCGGCAAACGTTCAGGCCGCAGAAGGTGATGCCTGCTTGGGGGACGTCTGCGGCTCGCACATCATCGCGCGATGACATCCCCTAATCAGATCTACACGCGCACTCAAGGGCAAAGCATACTCTTTCTTCAGTCGGTGATGTCGACGGTTCCAACATTGTTCAAATGAACACGACCAAGACCTCTTCACTTCCTACAACCACTCCACTTTCACCTGGATTTCATGGAACAAAAAAAGGTCATTGTGTCAAACGTCACAATCCATCCCTCCATTTTCTAATCTGCTTATTCTTACGGGGGGGCGTGGGTGTGCCAGGGCCTTTCCCTCCGACCGTCAACTGGTTGCCAGCCAATCGCAGGGCAAACAAAGACCAACAGCCAGTTGCGTTCTCAATCACACCTCAGGACAATTTTAGAGTGTTCCGTCATTCGGCCAGTGGGCTACTGAAGCAACATTGTAATTCAAAGCCCCGTTTTCTCTTTGCGCTTGCTTTTGTTCTCAGTAAGGTTCACATCACAAGAACCACCCTGGAGTGTTTGAATGGCGACTACGAGGTGGAACCGGGCTTTGGCCACAAGAGACACGCCTTCCTCCAGAAACACCACATCGAGACCTTTTTCATCGTGCCATCGCACCGACGCAAAGTACGCTTCGCTCTCTTTCCACTTCCCCTCCCACGTGTTTGCTTTTTTTTTTCTTGCCAGCACACAGCTGGAAAGGTGACACATCTGTCAGTGGTGTAATAGTTAATCCTCCGGTACAGAGAGGGAGGGGGGCCATGTGTTGAGCTGGCACACGCAGTGCTCCCTCCCCCCAAGTGTACTGTACATGTGCGCGGCGCACGCACATTGTGGGATTTGAAACATTGCTCAGTCATAGTTGTCAGGCGGACGACAACAGATGTTGACGGCGTGAATAAGACGGGTCCACATTTTCTGCCCCCAACTGTCTTCCATTGCTGTGTACTTCATTTTATTTTGAAACAAAGGCCGTATCGCGATTCGGTCGGAGATTAGCGGCTATCTATGAAGCGGCGACAATTTCGCATTTGGACTGTATCAAAAAATATATTGACACAGGATGACCTGAAAAGTTAATTCTGACGCAAACTAGCAATATGTGAAATGATCCAGATGTGTGGTTTTTTTTTTTTTTTTTTTTTTTTTACAATCCCTTGGTCCAGCCTAGGTTCTGGTCACCAACTTAACAACGTGAACATTTTTCATTTCTTATTAAGCATCCTGCATCACACCTCTATGTTGTCGTTGTTAATGTTAGTTCAGCTCCAGGAAAGTATGAAATATATACAGTGAAACTCCTCTACAACAAAATCATGTTTGCAGCAAGACATTTTTCACACCAGGGGGCTTTTCACTGTAGCAAATTTTATCTCAGATGTAAACACACACACACACACACACACACACACACAAACACACACACACACACACACACACACACACACACACACACACACACACACACACACACACACACAAAACGTATGTGTGTACTCTTTATTTTTATTCCAATACTTAGTACATAAATATGAGCATACACTTATTTGACACTTCATATAGCCAGTGTAGAAAAAAAACGTGAAAGAAACTGCGAAATTTATAGGGGGAACAGGGGGACTTTTTGTCGTAGGGGGAGCAGAAAAGTGGGAATGGCTTTCATGCATGAACATTTTTTCACACTAGGGGGTGTTTTCGCCCATGTAGGTTTCGTTGTAGAGGAATTCCCTGTATTGACATTTTACTGTATGAGCGACTCCCAAGTTATTCTCAGTCGGGATTTTAAACCTTTTTTCGCGTCGCCGACCGTATAACGCAAAGAGCGTGGCATTGCAAACACATCTAAGCGGCTTTGACTTTTGCAGATCTTTCCTGGTTTAATTCTGTCCGACATCAAACCGGCCAAGAGGATGAAGTTCAAGACGGTGTGCTACCTGCTCGTGCAACTGATGCACTGCAGGAAAATGTTCAAGGCGGAGATCCCCTTCTCAAACGTCATGACCTGTGAGGACGATGACAAGGTGAGTAGCGACAAGGTGGTGTCAAAGTATTTGGAGGAACGAAGCCTCGGAGATTGGTCCGAGGAACGACTTTGGGTCTGGTGACCATACGGACCTTGGCGACGGGCGGCATTATTCTTCCCAACGCGGCACTGCGTGACGTTCTAACAATCCATTTACGGTTTGGCCCCAAAATCTATTGGGGGGAAATTTAAGCAATTTTCCATCCCTTTTGGATTTAAATGCAACCGTGTCGTCACAAGGTCCCTCTTGTCTGTCAAACCCTGTCAGGGATTGACCTTGTCCGGTCGCCCTCCTCTCTGACCGTTCGCCTTCATTTTTCCCACACGGCGCAAGTCGAGTCATGACATGATCCAGTTTGTCTCTGACCGGTTTAGCGGTATAATCCTGATATTTGTCGGCTCAATCCCGATCGGCGACCAACCTTTGTTAATCCTCTAGAAATACCTCATCGAGCTCACCGTGCGGCAGATTTGTTTGGATTTTTTTTTTCACCCACTTTCAATCTCTGTTTTCCATCCATTGACCAATATGATGTGTTTTTATTTATCTTACTCAGCAAAACACTTCGTGTGCTAGCGTAGGGAAGTCCCAGACACCGTTTGCAGATGAAGGTAAAAAAAAAAAAAAAACCACAGTACCTTTAAAATCTAATTCTTACTCCGGTCGCGAGACCATTGATTTGTACGATCATATAGCAAAATCAAAACACCTGTCTACAATCGTCGGCTTACCGCCCTCTGCCAGCTGCCTCATGTGAAGAAACCCTTCAATACATCCAAGGAGCACCGAAGTACTCTTGGGCTTAACAGTCCGGCAAAGGCACGGCATCTCCTAGCGGAGAGTCCAAGCCCCTCGAGGACCGCATTGTTCCCCAAAGGTCACTTAGCCCTCGTTCCCAGCGGCAAGCCAAATACCTTCACCCGACGCCCAGCGACCTTCCGCGCAACCTGTTGACTGCATTTGCAGTCACACTCAAAATGAGTCGAATGGCCCTCGCGAGCGTCACCCCAAACACCTGCGCACAAGACGACGAATATGCTCCAATAAGAGTGCAGTTAAAGAGTTTGCATTTATGAATGGCGCTGGCAAGACTACGTATTCGTGTGGTGTGTGACAGCGGAGAGCTTTAAGGACCGCATCCGAGAAGTTAAGGAGTCGGACATCTTTCTCAGCCGCCACCGTCCAGCACTCACCGGCGACACGAGTCAACCGCTACATCGGACGCCTCATCGAAGCTCGGCAGACTGAGTCGGGGACGTCGGATCTCAACTGCGTCACCTTGTTCTTCCGGAACAGGGACAGGGAGCGCGGGGTAACGCCGACCGCACCCACTGAGCACGGAGAGAGACAAACGAGAATAGATAGTTACCAAGCGCACACAATCATGTGAACATGTACCGTACTTCCGAGTGCACATCCACGAGGATGCTTCATTACTGAACCCTCCCTATCTTTTTCCCCCCCCTCACATGCACACGACTCAGCTCAAATTATTTTCCCTTTTCTCCCTTGCACCCACGCCTGTAGCATATGATGTCTTTGTGTGTGAGTGCCAATGTGTGTGTGTGTGTGTGTGTGTGTGTGCGCGTGTGCTTGAGTAATCCACCCACCCTCTCAGGAGGGGTTGCAGATAATGATTTGGGAACGTCTCCGCAGCACACGTTATGGTTCTACTGTATGTGTGCGTGGGTAGAGCAATAAATGAGACACGGAACCGAGCTCTTTGGGGTTGCAAACATGTTTAAAATGTCCAAAAAGAAGCGGCAGAAGCAGAATCGTCGTCATTGGCCAAGTATAGGAGGTAACGACACACAAGGAATTTACCTCCCGTAGTACGAGCTCCACTCGGCTCGCAAATATGACATGTAAAGACGTGACACGTGAGCGCAGGGAGTCTTGATGTCATTGAAGGGTAGCGTCAGTGCCGCGCAAACGATGCCAAGAGTTGTCAGGCAAAGACAAAGTGACCAGCAGCGCACTCATTTTGACGGAGCTTTCATTTCACCTTTTGTTCTGGATTGGGCCAGCAGGAAAAAGTACTTCCGGTCAAAGAGAAAGACTTGAGGGAGGACTATTGGTGAACCAAGCCGAGTAGACAGGAAGCGATTTCCTTTGGTGCTTGTTCACGGCGCCTGATAAAGCTCGATGAATGACTGCTTCTCTCTTTCCGTCCTTTTCCAAGTACAACCAGATGTGTGACGACCATTTCATCGGCGCCGTGGTTGTCTCTCTGATCCTGGCGGCATTTTCTGGCCTGCTCTATCTGCTGATGATTCCACAGTACGTTCCTGACTCGTTTTTTTGGTTCATAAGACCAACAACAAAAATGCATCCGTGGCGCTGGGTTGAGTGGAAAAATGCCCAAGTCGGCCTCACTGCGACGTTGCTTTCTTTGACAGGGGCCTGCTGGTATTGCTTCTCTTGGTCTTGTGTGTCTGTTTTCACGTGGCCTGTGTCATGTACTTGCATCTTACCAGTGTTCAGGTAGGAACTTCGAAAAAGCCTCCACGTCCAGCATATTGCCCCCCCCCCTCACACCCCCAAGTCCTCTTTAATTGATATTAGTTCTAAACCAGATTGTGTATTTATCGTTCCAACTTCCATCATGCAGATCGTTTCCAATTTGAAGAGGCGTGCATCAATCTTCTCTTTTTTTCTTTTTTGGTATTTTGTCTTAGCCCTTTCAAAAAAAAAAATACGGAAGATACTAATGAATGTAATGCACAGTTTTGATTGGTTTCCAATTCTCAGAGTGATCTTAAAGATGTTTTGGTTGCCGTTTTTGGTGGCGTCTAGACGTACAGTCCACTCCTTTCATCCTATTTAGACATATTTCCAATATTATTTCATGCAGAAAAATAAGGTACAGTATTTGAGAAAGCTCCCCCATTTTCATGTCATGCTCAACATCACTGAAAACTCCAACTGTAATGTAAATATGGTTTTGAGAAACGCCAGTCAAAACTGCACATGATTACTTTGTCTCAGAAATGCAGACTTTTTTTTCTGTATTGACAAAACAGACACTTATCTTTTATTGGATCCCATGAAACTGAGCTGCTGTTCTTGACGCACCCTCCAACGGGTCTAAACTCTCATTGCAGAAGCTCACTCTGCCCGATGACGTTACTGTTAATTCCACCCCGATTTGACAAATCAATTTGCACGGAACAAAAATAGAGCTGAACGCAGTCACTACTCATGCCACTTTTTTTTTTGCTTCCCATTTGTCGACACTTTTCTCACCCGACCTTTTCCTTTCTTTTGCCGTCAGTGCCAACCAGGCTGCCTGACCATCCAGATACGAACGGTCGTGTGTGTCTCCCTGGTCTTGCTCTCTTATTCGGTTGCGCAGGCCTGCATGGTGAGTGCCGCAATACTCCAACGGCTCGAAATTACTAATCAGTTTCATTTCCCTCTCATGGAAATGATCTGAATCCCTTAACATCATTCAAAACGTTGTGTGACGCCAGGAGCAGGGGGTCCCCTGCGTTGTGTTCCTATATTATTCCACTGGAGTCCATTTGGATCTCATCATGGTTTTATTTCCCGACCTGTGTGCAGAAAAAGACCCGAGACTGTTGTTTTACTCGAACGGTCTCGCCAGCTCTCCTGAGGATCATAAACAAGAAATAGGTCGCGCGCTAATCAACATTAGCCACATTAGCTTGATACGTCGACGGAGGGCGGATCCAAACGTCACCGAGCGACGACAAAATTTGCCCCAAATCACACAGGCTATCGTCCAACAATGTGTTTGTAACCGTAGCGCGACCCATCTGCCGTAACGCCGAATTTTCTTCCTCTAATTGGCTCGGCTATTGTGGGCTAGCAAGGTACGCGTCTTACCTCGGTCGTGGCGTCACCACGCAACTTTCGCCGCACCGCGCGCACCAGCTCACGTCATCAGAAAACACGTACAAATAATCAATAACGATAACTGAAGTGTTTTTGGTGAAATTAGTAGTTCGTGTATGAACATTTTATTGTCTGTATGACCTTGAATTGATGGTTTTGCTGTTGTCTCTGTCAAAGCGCTTTATTTTCTCTCGAATCTTTACAGGTTGGATTCATACCACGGGGTCAAGTTCAAGTCATATCCAACAACTCGTTCCAGGATTCCCCCACAGAGATGTTTGGCGACGACCCGGCCAACGCCACAGCCGCAGAAAGAGCTGGCCCGAGCATGGCCTATGCGCTCTTGTCCTGTCTGGCTGGCACGCTCACCATTGTCCCCTACCTCAGAGTATCTTCGCTCCCAAAAATCCTCCTGCTCTTCTTTCTGTCTGCGACCTACACGGTCATCGTAGAGATCAGTGGCTATCGGCAAGCCGTCGGGTAAGAGAAAGGTGCACTCGGTGACGACGTTGCATGCGTTTGCGTTTTGGATTCTTTGGTTTGAATGCACCCAGGCAATTGAAAATAAAATAAACTCCAATTGCGTTGCAATGAAGGTCCATAGAGTGGAACCTCAGCGATCAAACGTCCTAAGTGCATTTAGATTAAGAAAAAAAAAGTCGCCCATTGTAAATAATAAACATGTCATATCGTGTCATGTTATGTCATGTCGTGTCATATCGTGTCATGTCATGTCATGTCATGTCATGCGAGACCGCAATTCAGTCTTGGACCTTTTTTCCTCCATTAATGCGGCAATTTAGGCTCTGCAGAATATCATTTGGTCGAACAGCGTATTTCACTTATTTCAAACAACGCTATTGATTTATTTGATTGAGTAAATGTTTCAACAAATGGGGGGTGTGGCACCATTCAAACAACTGCATTTTACCTCCAGCAAATTAGATGCATATTTTACGAGCATGTCATGTTGCACTCCGTCTTCCAGCGCCGGCTTTCCGCACACTCGGGGTTCTGATCCCGTCCTGGCTGTGTTGCTGTTCTCCGGAGCTCTGGCTCTCCACTCGAGGCAACTCGACCTCAAGCTGCGTTTTGACTACCTGTGGGCCACTCAGGTATGCTTGTCTGTTGGGCATTCTACGGCAACTTGGTAAAACTCGAAGAATATCATTTTGTATTTGTCACTAGTGGATGACAGCGCAGTCCTTTTTTGAACCGATTCAATTATACATCACTGTTAGAGAGTCTTGTCTTGTAATGCGGTCCTTCTCAAATTAGGTATTTTTTGATATGTAACGATTATATTTGCCGTGATAAATAATGAATCCCAAAGTGTACACCTTAAATCAAATTGTCAACGTATTCAAATTAATTTACACACGTGACATACTTGACATTGTGCTTCAGCTGGAATTTATTTTTCATGGACAAGACAAAGTTTCTGGTTCCGTTATGTCATGCCATCATGTTCCGCAACATATCACCGGATTAGCGGGAATATGTTTGACGTTTCAAATAATCCACCCGATGCCATATGCATTAGTGCACTAATCATGTCGTAAACATATGCAAACACTCATTTGACTTTAATTGCCAGCCCAACCCTTTTTTAAAATTTTTTTATACATATTGAAGTTCTGCTCGAAAATAAAAATGCTTTTGAAATGTTCAGGGTTGAACAATACTTTTTCTGGGTTATTTCAAATGTTTTCAATTCACGCATACGGAGTTATTGCCGAAAACTAAGACGTCAATTATGCACAAATTTAAGAGAAAAAAATAAATGCTTCGTGCTATGACGTCACAATGGCTATGTGTTCTCAACGCACACGTGTGAGAAATCGAAGCGGAGGGTTGGACTCGGCTTGCATTTTCAGACACAGTCACGGTGAGTCCGTGAAAAGTAACTCGTTACCTCCCCCTAGTGAATAAAAGGCGCAATTACCACCCAGGCTGAGTCAGTCCCAATGAGAGCCGAAAGAAATGTTTGCCATCTTTTTCTTGGACTCGCGTCCTGTGTGACGGCTGATGGCGCCCAGGCAGAAGAGGAGAGAGACGACATGGAGAAAGTGAAGCTGGACAACAAGAGGATCCTGTTCAATCTGCTGCCGGCGCACGTGGCCCAACACTTCCTCATGTCCAACCCCAGGAACATGGTGAGCATCCGCAGACACGTTCGGGCAGGCTCAACAGTCGGAGGAGCTTCGCACCTCTTTGAGTCGCACAGAAGCGGGCACAAACGTGGTGATTAGACATCCAGCGATGAAAAGGAGCTTTTGGGCTTTCGGCTGAAATTGATGGAAAATGTCATAAATTCGCGGAACAGTGACATTTAAGTACAAGGGTGAACTGGTGATTTGCTCGTCTCAAACAATTCACTGAAAGAAAAGTTAACCAAAAATGTCAACCCGTCACGTGCCCTCGAGCATCCATATGACGGCTTGACGACGACCTCGCATGCCGCTCGCAAGGCGACTTGTAGTCTGCTGAGGCACGGCACGGCATCCCGCTCTTCTTGAAGGCCAGCCCTCGGGTCACGGAGGTTCTGGGGTGCAGACTTTCGCACCTCTGCACGGTGATCCCTTATAAGGCAAATTTGCTGATCATAAGTGAGGATCGCCGTGCTGCAATTGGATTTTAGGGAGAGCGCAGTTCTAAGTGGCAGCACTGATGAAAAATGTCAAGAACATCTGTTGTTGTTGGGGGGGGGGGTTAATAAACAATAATCAATGACAAGTATTGAATAATGCAGTTCCCTTCACAAGGACCAATACGCGTCAGAAAATGCAGGACCTCCTGAGGCCCCGATTCGTGTTAGCGGAGACTGATTGTGAGTCAGGAAGGAAGTTTCCGGCACATTGCTGTCCCGTCCAGAACACCCGTGGACAAAAAGGCTTCCTCTTGTTCCTCTGGGTTAAAGTTCAACAGTACACAGTCTTCACAACACAGCAAGTGTGACTTCAAAATATTTGAAAACATTCTCCTTTCTGTTTTCACACATCAAATGAGTCAAATTCCCAAATGATTTTGGCATCGACTTCTCTTGTTTTTTTGGGTTTTTTTTTTTTTTTTTGTTGCCTGTTTTAAAATACTGAGCAGCGCTAAAGCAAGCACAAACTCACTCTCCTTGTCCCTCTCAGGATTTGTACTACCAGTCGTACGCTCAGGTCGGAGTCCTGTTCGCTTCGATCGCCAACTTCAACGACTTCTACATCGAGTTGGATGGAAATAACATGGGCGTCGAGTGTCTCAGGCTGCTCAATGAGATCATCGCCGACTTTGATGAGGTGAACACATTTGACTTTGAATTCACGTTCACAGTGGCGCAGATGAATTTTCAGGGCCTTATTAAAAGGCGTCGTGTCAGTGACGGGAGCCATTTCTGTGTTGAACGCATCCGCAAGACGCATCGTATTATTGGACGCAGGCACGGTAAAACGTACGCTGGCATAAAACATGCGTTTTTAAAAAGGCAGCTGGAGCAAAACTGAGTGATTTTGGAATCCATCAAAGTCCGAATCTTTGGAACCGCCGGGCAAGTTCACCATCAAACACGCCATCGTCAAAGTCTCACCGCCGTGCGGCTCCTCAGGGGTGATGATGCCGGCTTTTGCGAAAGCTTGAACGACGGTGTAATCGGACACGGAAGCCCGAGCGTCCGCGATCCATTCACCAATCGTGGCGTCACTCGCCCCGGCGCCGCCTCCGGGTCTTCGTAAAGCCGCTTTCGCAACTCGGCTTTGGCCGTTTCTGTCCATTACCATGGCAACCAAGCACAAGAGTAAACGCCGCCGCCTTTACACGGCCGGTTGTGCGTATCGCTACCATGCTGGGTCCCCTTCTCCTCGACAGTGCGGTTGATTTATTTTTGGATTGAACCTTCATTTCACGAGATATGATCCCGTTGAAATTCAAAATCTTTCAAGCAAGCGGCTCCTGGCCAAGACAGCAGAACGATCGCTCCACAGAAAATCCACACGAAGACGAAACACGGTTAGAGTATGCAAATCGCATCAGTTCATCATCGTCCTCCTGTCCTGTACGGCTTTCTTCCCCCGTCAGGGAGCTCCCAGATCTCCCAGACAATTTCTTTCATGACCTGCTTTGTTAGCCCTGGACGGGGCCCAACCCGCCCCCCCTCGTTCTCCCTGGCCACAGCTTCTCAGGTGCCTTGCGAAATTGCTCCGACGGTAGATATTGCTTTCCGACGTCGATTACCTTTTTTCTTTCTTGCCTGGCTCATCTGATTTCAAACCCCCGCAGCCCTTCTCAACACAACTCATTTCAACCCAGCTGTATTTATAGAGCACTTTAGAACAAGGCCAGCGCAAATGTCTTAAGGGGGCCCTCCGTTTCGAATGGATCAGGTGTTTTGAGCAAAGACCAGCACCCGGAACCTTTCGTGTTCTGCCACTCAAGTCATTCCCAAACCTTTTGACCACATTCCAACGGCCTCCGGTCTCTCGTATCGACGAGCTGTTGCGCTCGTGCGTGTGAGGAGAAATCTCAAAAGTCATATTTTGTGCCGCTAACTACGTTTCCAATGTCTTTGTTTTTTAGCTGATGGACAAAGAGTGCTACCGGGATATTGAGAAAATCAAGACGATTGGCAGTACGTACATGGCCGCCGTGGGGCTCGTTCCGACGAGCGGCTCCAAGGTACGCATTCCGAATCGACTCTTTCACAATCACGACGGAGTACCGTGTTGCCTCAAAGTACCCTTCGCTTTTCCTGAACGTCGTTTCATGGCGTTCTTTTTGTTTTTGTGGCATACGTGTCACACCCACAAATCCACCGCAGGGGGGGAAATACTGGGCGCTGCGGCGTCTTCCTCCTTGGTTAGCATGCAGGTCTGCATTTGATGGGCGACATTTGATGCAGCTTTCCTGTCTGTGCATTTCATGTTTTTCAGGCAAAAAACTCCGTCGCTTCACACCTATGCACCGTAGCCGATTTTGCCATTGAGATGTTCGACGTCCTGGATGCAATTAACTATCAGTCTTATAATGACTTTGTGCTGCGAGTAGGTGAGCGGAACACACGTGCACACACACACACACACGCACGTAAAGACTCTGACCTATTGCGCTGGACGCTATTGACACCAATTGCCGGGAGCTTTGCTAGGAAATGCATCAGAGAGAGAGAGAGAGAGAGAGAGAGAGAGGGAGAGAGAGAGAGAGAGAGAGAGAGAGAGAGAGCGTTCCGTCCAGGAAAGTCGTCACATGGAGACTCGCGGTTCTGGGATCCATTGTGCGGAGTATCCTGTGGGGAGCCTGCGACAGGAGCCCTTGTTCGCTCACAGCATACTATGGAGTGTCATCCTGTCTCCAGACTGGATGGCTCCATATCGGGAGACCTCGTGTGTGTGTGTGTGTGTGTGCGTGTGTGTGTGTGTGTGTGAGAACCAACTTTTGTCAATGACTGGACGTCCTCAACATGCAGAAAAACAAATATTCAACAATTACAGTCGTAAAAAAAAAAATGAGAGTGAAGCCAGCCAGGCCAAAATGAGCACTCCAGAGGCCAGCAAAAGTACAGATGGTTTTCTTTTTCTTTTTTTTACCCCCCCCCTCTCAACAACTCAAAATCGACTGAGCAATGAAAATGTTGTTTGGCCCATTGTCTTTTCTCGAATGCGATTGCAATGCCCGAAGCATGCAGTTGAATGTGTAGTTGTTTGATGAGTTTGCTGGTTTGGATCCGGCTCGGCATGTCTGCGCCTTGAACAGGACCGCTCGCCTTGTCACTGCGTTGTTGGTGGAATTTACTCGCTGATTTCAAGACGCGCACGATGACATCACGTCTTGGGCATGAAGCGCAGAGTCCGTGTCAGATTCGCCGGAGCTCGACAGCTTTGCGATACGCTGCGAGTTGACGTTTACTGAACGTGAAACTGCCTTTAAAACACGCAGGGGGCAAAGTAATGAAGTCCGAGTCAAAATGACGTTTTTTTGGTGTTTATTTTTTAAAAAACTGGCAGCTCCTCAATAAGTATCAAGGCTTTGGGAATGATTTCAGTACAAGAAATCAGCGCGAGTTGCCAGGAGTGGCTTTGATCAGATCTTGGTCCACACGCGGTGTGTAAATACCGTAAGGCGATCCCACCGAGCGTCCGAAAGCAGTCTGGTGGTGAGAAGACGGATAAATGCCGGCAACTAACTGCAACTGAGTTTTGTTTTTTTTTCCCCCAAATCAAAAAAGCCTGACAAATTCCCATCGTCGTCCTTGTGTGCCCTCGCAAAAAAAGGAGACAGAAGCACACTCTCGCTCTGAAAATGGTCGAAATGGTTCAGCCGCCACAGAAACAAGCATGTCAGTCCCCAGACCTCAACCCCATTGAAAAGCTGCCTCAGTGCTGCTTGACCTCAAATGTTTTCCCTCGATATTTTTGTGATTCTGGGAATTCCTTCCTTCATTATTCAAGTGAATAAGTGCACTTGAACAAAAGGTTGGATCTTCCTCTGTTTTCTAATGTTGATCCGATATTATTATTGGGGGGGGATTTATTAGAAGCTTAAGAAGACATCTTATCCAAGGGTGGCGGTAATTATGGAGGGCAGTTTGCATTCCGATGTTTGCCGTAATTTAGGAAAGAACATGATGTGCTCGGGTAAGACGGTAATTAAGCTCTTTGGCAGCGAAGAGTTTTGGATGACGCATTGAGAGAGGCCCACGGATGCCATGCAGGGGTGGGGTGGCAATTGGGATCTCTGGTCTGATCCGGTCCGGCGTCCTTCTATTTGTTGAAAAAAGGTCCGAATTGCTATCGAAAAGGTCTTTTCGAATCGCGCATTGTCACACGGATGTTTTTTCGGGGGGGGGGGGGTTCCCCTCGCAGGCGGTGGCGATTCAGTTTGACGCTAGCGCTCACGCAACGAGCCCATCCAATTGTTGACCGAATAAGATTTGCGTATTGAAGATACGACATGACAGTGACTGTCCAAAGTTTGAAACGTTGCCTCAGGAAGGACCAGAATGTTTGTGTTCTCCCAGAAGTCAGCTCGAAAGCATTTTTGCGTCATTTGTTGCACGAGCGACACTTTAGTCGAAGTAAACAAAGAGGCCAGTCCAGCGACTGAAGCAACTTGGCATTTTCTCTGGATTTTGGTGCGCCGTAAACGCGAATTTAGCCACATTTCGCTCATCCAGTTCTTTGAGCTGATTTTTAGTTGGACCGTTGTTGTGCTTCCGACTGTTTTCTTCATTTTACTGTTTGTATCTGAATTAATTTTGCGCTTTGTCAACAGCGGCGGTTGTTTTCAAGTGCTCCAAAAATACGCTTGAGTTGAGAAAGTTGTTGCCTGAGATCTCAGTGCTGCTTGACCTCAAATGTTTTCCCTCGATATTTTTGCGTTTCTGTGAATTCCTTCGTTCATGTTGCGGCGCTGTTGTACTTAAGTAGGATCAAAATACTTTCATGGACGGCTCGGATGGAAAACATTTGCAAAACCACAAATAAATGTGATAAGGCGGCGGTGTGCGAAGGGGGGCATCCAACTTAGGGACGGGGTCCGCCCGGTTAAATCGTACCCCCCCCGGCCCCCCACCCCAACCCTCCTTCACCGTGGGGAATTGTCGGTCCAGAAGTTTGTTAACAAGCCAGTGTCGGGCACGAGCCTTTCAGCCTGCGGGCTGCAGCATATTTTGATGAGAGGCTATGTTTTGTTTTGATTTTGAGGCAGCGTGTTCGTAATGTTTACACTGAGGCAGTTTCATAAGTTTCATAAGGCAGGTGTCAACATGACACCCAACGTGGCTCCATCGTCCAAAACATCATTAGACTCTGTTTAGTCGACGCTGCAAAAACAATGAGTCGTAAAATCCCAATCGCTGCTCATGGGTTGATATCTGAGGCCAGCCAAAAGATTTTCATTCGTCAGTCGTGCGCCGGCGCCTCAATCTCCCTGGCTGAATTCGGGGGGCCCCGTACACGTTCCTGACACCAGTTGCGACGGGAACTTGGAAGGAGCCAATGAAGATGGGTTCTGACCCGCACCGTAGCGCCGAGGCAATCTCGGAGTGCGTCGCGTCGACACTGACCTCAGTCCTCCCACCAAGTACATTTGAAACTTTTAGAATGTGACTGTTCTTGAGTTCGGAGTTGACTTTGCGTCTCTCTCATAAGACGCACCTCAGGGAGGCCGTTGTCATGATTCAAATCGTTATCCCCCCCCCCCTCCCGCCCCCACGTTGATGCCGATCGACATTTGTGACCAGGGTTCGACTTCCTCAACAATTTGAGTGAAGAAGAGTCAAACCTGAACGACAACCACTTCTTCTTCTTCTTCGAGAACAGTCTGATCAGTCAATATATTTGCATCCTAATGTGGTTCACTGAGAAAAAAAAAAAACGATCTTCGAGATATGACACATTGCACATTGTTGGTATTGGATTTGTGCTCAGGAATCAATGTGGGTCCAGTGGTGGCGGGCGTCATCGGGGCCAGGCGGCCTCAGTATGACATCTGGGGAAACACCGTCAACGTCGCGAGCCGAATGGACAGTACCGGAGTCCAAGGCAAAATACAGGTAGGCTGCACACCGCACGCCGTCCTCACATCACAGCGACTCCTCACACACACCCAAGCGGTCGCCAGTGGAGACCGCCGCATGCCCAGAAAGTCTGCCCCGGTTGTTGTCCAGTCTGAAGTTTGGACCAAGTTGGCTGATTGAATGGAAGCTTTGAATTTCTTACGCAAACCGAACTCGCTCATTTTGGGAGAGTTTCTGCTCCGATGTCTCTGCGGGATGCCAAAATAGCCTCCCGGGGGCCTGGTGGGATATGCTCAGGGTGGATCAGCGCCACACACGTGAATCCGCGCCCCACACGAGAGGGCTTTGGTCTTCCCGGTTTCAAAAAGCCATGACCTGAATCTGGGACCTTGACTGTGAGGCAGACGTTCAAGCCAAAGTCTCAGTGTTCTGTTGGAGGTTCCTTCCATGACATTTTCCTCGACTTTTCCTCGGCTCTGTCGCCATCGCGCTCGCCCATGTGGCGGTGACTTTTTTTTTCATGTGTCAGGAACCGCCTGCGCCATATTGGGAGTCGACGGTAAACGGGCTGTCACTTCTATCGCGCTTTTCGACCTCGGGTACTCAGACCGCTCGACGCGTTTTTTTCTCATTTAGCGACTGATGGCGTCAGGAGCAACTGAAGGGGTCAACGTCTTGCTCAAGGACACTTTGACAGGGTTGCAATGGCGGGGGTTTGCGTGCCTTGAGATAGTTTTGAAATGAAATCAGCCCCACTTGATTCCGTCTGTCAGATCAAGTACGTCCAAACTTTCCGAGGGATCATCTACATAATCCTGAATTTCTTCTCCAGGTGACCGAAGACGTCTATCGCGTCATCGCAAACCACTATCACTTTGTTTGCCGGGGCCAAGTCAGTGTCAAGGGCAAAGGTCAGATGCTGACTTACTTCCTGGAACAGCGGCGGCAAAACAGCAGTGTTTCTCCATCCCTTCAGCAGCGCCGCACCGCGGAGCCGCGCTCGAGCGCCTCGGGCCGAGGCAACGTGTGCACCAGGTTAAGCCCGGCCCCCACGGTGACCACCTACGCCGCCGTCAGGACCGCCAGCCCCCGCGCGGCCAAAGCCACGAGCTCCGCCAGCACCGCGAGGTACCTGCCGTCCGTCCCCACGGAGCGAGTGTGATGGCCACCGTCTCCATAGTTACAGTGGAAAGTCTTTTTTTTTTAAAAAATGAGGGCGGAGCCTGGAAAGCCGAGAGAAGCGGAGGAGGAGTTTCTCCCACTTCTCTCGCGGGGGCGCAGCGTGGCCAAAGTCTTGACTGCATCAGGACTAATCCTAGCCCGCCTGGATTGGACGGCCCTCTCCCATGCCCCCCCCCCCCCCCACCATGCTCAAGTCCCGTTTGTTGTTTGACGCCAAGGGTGTCGTGACCAGGATACAGGATGCCCTGTCGTCAACAGCCAAGGATGTGTCCAGGACTTCAGTGGAAACTCTCAAGTGTATCCGCACGTCTGTAAGCAAAATCAGCCTCAAAACACGCACAGCTCATCGTGTAGCACGCAAGTCTCTTGCTTGCAAATTCCTTTAACGACATGAGCCCAGCCCCTTTTTCCGCAGGGTCAAACCAAATCGGCGATCATGCCTTAGCGTCGGCCAGTTCGAATGAGGTTCCTGCTCCTTTTCGTCGACTTTTGCAGATGTTATCCGCATGACACGGCAGCCAAAGTTATTGCCGGGGCATCGCTGACAATGAGGAGCGGGATATATTTGAAAGTCCGTGGAGCCAAATGTGTCAGGATGCTACCGACTTGCCAAAGTGCAAAACGGCATGCGCTTTGAGGCCTCTTGGGTCGTCAAAACCTCTGCTGGCACGAGAGGTGAACTTCATTTTTTTTTCGAGGGGGTGGTGGGGGGGGCGAGCTGCTCCGAAAAGTGCATGACGCCACCTCTGCATTGCAGTCACGTTGCTCTTTGTTTGCCTGTGATGCTTGACTTCCAGATTCTTCCTCGTCAAAAGTGTAGCAATAAAACGGTTTGTGTCCTCTCGCGGCATTTTCACCTTCGCATGCTGTAGCCGGCCGACTCCTTGTTCCATCCGATCGTTGATTTCGCCGGTCGAGTGGTGCGAACCACAGACCGGCGCGGCTGCGGAGCTCAGAACGGGATTTTCTGGATCATGCGAGTGTGACTTGACATCAAAAAGTTGAAAAAAAAAAATCCGTGTATTTATTTATGGAGTGATGTTTTTATTGTTCAAATGTTCGAATAGTCAACTATTTTTACAAATCGGAAATCCGCTTTCGTATGTATAATAAAATGTACGAGGGGTCACCAAAAGCTGTATGTCTTCCTCATGAGGACGATTCTTTGGTGGGCTAGCATGCTACGTGCTAACCGTGAATTCTCTGACGCACGCGCCGCCGCTGTTAGCCGAGCGGGCGCACTTTGTTCATCGGATATAATCGTCTGCATGTGCTCTACCGGTAGCAGTCCTCTTGAATGTAAGGTGCTTTTTTTTTTTTTTTTTTGGAGCCGCGTCTCCTTCAAAAGCTGAGCGTACAAAGCTTCGATTTCCAGATAGTTGCACATCAAGTGGAAAGGTCCTTCCCCCCCTTTGCTGGATCCGACCTCGTCCGTGGGTTTCTAACATGCACGCCTATTTTCATAAACGTACCCCCCACCAAAAAAAAAAAAAAAAAAAAAAAATGGTTGTGCTGTAAGCCGCAGCACAGTGAACGTGCGGCGGTTCTTCGTGTGTTTTTAAGAGTGTGTCAAACGGGGGAAATGTTGCTCCTTAATTAGACACGTTGCCTGAGGTGTTATCTTGAAATGCTTTGACCGGCTCTGTTCTAGCTCAAATGCTTGCTTTACGTTTCTAAAAATCATTAGAAATGATGACTTTTATACAAGAAACTTGATGGGGCGGGGGGGGGGGGGTTATTTTCATATTTGATGCAATTGTCGTACGGAGGTATTTCTCGCTTATTGTACATCGTTGTCTTTTTTTTCCAGAAATGATTTTGTTCCAAACGTATTTTATGGAGGTGTTTGCTGTGAATCGAAAGCCCAACACGATATTTTGTAGCAGTGTTTGCGCTTGGATGATGTTGAAATGTCGTGGCTGTGAAAATAAAGCAAGAGGGGATCTTGTGACGGTGGGAGTCTGCTTTGTCCATCCGCTTTGCAGGGAGTTAGTTCCAACTTCGCCCCTTCTGGCGGACGTTCCCAAGTAACAACAGGCAAACGCGAACATATTTCAAAAGTCCTTCATTCCAAAAAGCTATCAGCGTTTTGAAAGATAACCTTGGCCCGGTAGCGTGTGTGTTACTGTCGCCTTTGAAGACGTTTGGCGCGTCTTTTGTCACTCTCGCTCTGTTTGCTTTCTTTCTTTGCACTTTGCGGCCAATACATGAAAGCGACCCAACTCAGCACAAACTCCAAAGTTACATAACAGAGGAGAAAAACAGGAGCTGACCTCTGGAGAGGCACTCGGTGTCAGCCTGATTCCGACAGTGTTTCCCCTCAAGTGACGTCATTCGCCTGCATGACAAAACAGGATGTGTGTGTGCGGATCGCCGACGTCAAGGCACTTTGTATTTGTGGATGATGATAAGCGCTCGATCAGTACGATGTCTTCCATTTTCCAAAGTGAGCTGCTGTCTGACGGGAAAAGAATGTTGTCGCGCGGTTACAGGAGAACCTTTGGGGCTCAGTTTGAAAACCAGAAGCGGTCATATCTCAAAAGAGGAACGTTGCACTCTAAATGGAAGCGCGCGAAGGCCGAAGCTGAGATCTGATTGGGGAGGATTTGATTCATGAAATAGAGGAAATTCAAGGCAACCGTTTGTTTTCATTTCCGTGTATAAAATGAAGACAACAGACTGTCATGACTTCAAAGACGACAATTTCATAGATGCTGTAAAAGTCGCTCAGCGCTTCTGCTGCCGTTTGGAAGCCACGGCCGCCCCCGACGACACAGCACTGCTTCCATTTCCGTTGCTGTATTGACCTGCCATCATGATCTTAAAGCAAATCAAAAATAATCCATTCATTTAGGAAGATAAAAATAAAGGACAGGGTGTAACTTACCACCTTGCTCTTGCTGTCCCTTGGGTACAGAATGTGTTACGAATATTTGCATTTGAACATTTCTCATCGGCACATACGCTTGCTTTCATGCTCTGACCCAAATAGGCGGGCGGAAATTAACATAAGGTACATAGAACTAAACAATCAGAGCAACACGCATCTTTACAAGTTGTGGTTTGGGGGAAAAAAAAAAAAACAAGAGGAAAGCCAAACAATGATTGTGTGTATTTGTGTTTCAAGCCGAGTTGCTAGGTCCTGTCACAGGAAGGGCCAGCTTCCAAACATTCATCAGTGTGTGTGTGCGCGCGTGCGAACTGGAAGTACAAATGACCTGCTGAACATCCTGAGTGACAGGTTGTCAGGGCAACATAAGATCAGTCATGACGCCAGAGCACGAAGGTGGTGTTTTTTTTTTTTTTTTCCAAATCAAAACACACACACGCACGCATGCACACAAGCACGCTCGCACACACGTCGTTGTTTGTATTCCGATGTGATTCGTTGACGGAACAGAAAGCCCGCGCCAAGACGGCAAACAAATGCCATTCACGGGATTGGCCGCAAAGAATCGGATTGAAAAGAGGAGTCTGTGATTTCTTTGTCAATGACGACGCCTCTGAACGGACATACAACATTGGAAATGTCATGTGCCGCCGCCGCCGCCGTACACTTTCCACTCGCCTCATTTTATTTGCAGTTGGGCTCAAATACTTACAGCCTAAAAAAAAAACGCCAGACTGACCTGACAGCAGAAATGACCTCCAGGGGGAGGAAACAACCTCGAGTAGGGATGGGGAGCGAAATCTCTATTTTGTGCGGGGGGGGGGGGGGGGACCGACCGATTTGGGTTCGCACAACCGAGTACCGATTCATGTGAAATCAAAGAGTACCGTGTTTTCGTACCCTGTAAAATGTGCCTTGAACGCAGCACCGGCATAATGATGTCACTCACTCACACAAGTGTTCAACCATGCGACATCGATATCGAAATATCCATCTTTTTTCGAATCTGCTTCTCCTCAGAAGGGTGGTGGCGGGTGTGCCGGAGCCTCTCCCAGCCGTTTTCCGGCAGTAGGGCGGGGGACACCCTGAACGGGTCGCCAGCCCATCGCAGGGCACACAGAGACGAGCAACCGTTCGCGCTCACAATCACACCAAGGGACAGTTTAGTGTGTTCCATGAACCCGCCACGCATGTTTTTGGAATGTGAAACCCGAGTACCCGGAGAAAAGCCACGCAGGCACGGGGAGAACATGCAAACTCCACACAGGAAGGCCGGAGCTGAAAAATCGAACCCTGCGCCTCTGCGCTGTGCGGCCGACATGCTAACCGGTCGACCGTTGCGCCGTCCCTACTGGTTTATGATCGTCAATGGTTGGGTTTTTTTCAACAATATGTCGGAAGTTCGTCTGCGTTTGAGCATGATGGTGGCGGTGGTGAGAAGACGTTGCCTCCGTGTCTCTGAGAAATACCGGCTGACCTCTTCCGCGTTCACGCGCGGCCTTCGCGGAAGCGCGGCGGCAGTCAGCTGGTGAAGCTAAAACGGGAACCGAAACCCGCTTCGACCTCTGCTCGTTCCCGAACGCACGGAATGACTGCGTGGTGGCGCGCCCCCGGACCCTGTCGCCTCGCGCCTGATACCAGTCGTCGGCTCTCCCTTGGCGCCGCGGCATGACTGACCTCCGCGCCTCCTTCGACGAGGGCTCCATCTTCAGCTTTTGAGGGAATTTTCCCCGAGCCCGGCGACGGGAAGAGGCATCCGCTGGCGTTGTCGGTCCCACAAGGATTGCGGTCGGACGGCGCGTCTGGCCATCGGCGTCCTCAGCCACTGGCGTCTTGTCCAGGTGGTCCTCGTTGTCTCGTCATTTGGCTCGCCTTGAGTTCCCCGCCTCATTCCGCCACTTGGTCATGTCATCGCTTTTGCTTGCAGCCCCCACCGGTTGTCACGTCCCTTGGTCCTGCTTTGTCAACGTGTCACTTGGACTCCATTTTTCTTTGGACTTTTTTTTTTTTTTTTTGGATCATCCCCAACTTGTTTTTGTTTGATGTTTTTGAAATGAAAGACTTTTTGGGCCTCGCCTCCTTGCTTCACTGCACTTGGGGTCCGCTACCCTGCCAGACCCCAGCAAATGCTTGATTTGTCTTTTTTACACTTGCTTATCATTTGTCAAATATTATATTTTTTAAATATGAAAAGGTATCCCATCCCTCCTCAGGAGAGGCATCCTATGATTTATTTATTTGTTCACATCCCTCTCGAGCCCCCACAGCAAACTATTTGTATGCATGTTAAATGTAATTGGAATAAAAAAATTAAAAAAAAACAATAAAATAGGATGACTTGATCGCAGTTACTTTGACTACTTTGGCTGAAAAGAAGAAAAAAGTTTGTTGTCGGGCAATGCGACTCATTCCTTCATATGCAGTCGGCCGACATACAAATCCAGTCCTCAAATAATCGTGCCGCCTTGAGTTGAATTCATTCCTCCACATGTGAATGGAGAATAACAAGCCGCTTTACGGCAGTCGC